TAAATAGATTTAGGATGGTTTAGGATGGTTTATCATTCTGTGAATATTTCTACATCCTCTACTCCAAAAACACCAAACTCACTGCCATCAAATTAATTCTGACTCATAGCAACTCCTATTGGGTTTCCAATACTGTAAATCTTTATGGAAGCAGACTGCCTCATCTTTCTTCCACAAAGCAGCTGGTGGATTCAAACTGAATTTGGTTAGCAGCTGAATGCTTTAACCACTACACCAGCAGAGCTCCTTCTACCCTCTACTAGTAACTAAAAAATCAGTATTAGTTGAAAAATTTAGGAGTTTTGGAATCTGGCCACAAAGAGTTTTACATGGTCTTTCACTTCCTCTGTCCTTCCCATAAAGTCTTAGTTCTTCCCATCAGCTGACTTTTAGGGATTCTACTTTCTGAGTTATGAAAAAGGAGTGGGGAAGGTAGAGAGTTCGGGCTGTACTACCTTTGAGAGTGAAACGCTGTTATTAAAACACAGTGAAATTGAAACTTCAAATGGATAACCTGCTTTTGTCTGAGTCAATTCTGGCTCACAGTAACCCTTTAGAACAAAGTAGCACTGCCTCATAGGGTTTCTAAGGCTATACGTCTTTAGGGACGCAGACTGCCACATCTTTCTCCTGTGGAGTGGCTGGTGAGTTCAGACCACTGACATTTTGGTTGGCAGCCAAGTGCTTAACCCCTGTGCCACCATGGCTCCATTTCAAATGGATAGCCTCCTCAGTTTTTAATGAGGAAATACCTTTATAGCTTACTTTCGACATTCATTCATTCATTAATATTTAACAAAAGAAATGGGACCAAGGTTGTAACCAAACTAAGGAACATGACTAATTATTAGCACAGACCTGTAGTCCAATCATCTGAACCCCAGTAGAGAGCTGCTATTTTTATACCACCATATCTTCTCTTCCCAGTGTCCCTCCATAGGGTTGAAAAGTACACCTTCTGCATTCATATGCCTATGTCCAAATTCTAGCTTGTTATTAACCCTTCTTTGCCTCTGTTCTTTTATCTATAAAATGGCATGGCACAGAGTGAGGTGTAGCCATTCAATTCCAGGCATCATGAAACTTCAAGAGGTAGGATGTTTGGGTTTATCCAAGCAACTTAGTTTTGTGCATCTGTGCGTAGAATCTTTAATAGCATTTTAAAGTTATATCAACAAAAGTACATTGTGGTCTAATGCTTGCTGTCCAATTAACAATTTGCTTGAACATTTATAACCACAACGGTGGCTTACCATGACAATGAGTAATAAATAAAGTCATTGCTTTACAAATGGACCATACTTCAGTTTTTCATGACGAAGAAGAAACTGCCTACTGACAGGCTTTTTGTTGCAGGTGTCCTTCAACTTTTAAATGTGGAAATTCAGAACTTTGGATCACCACAGTATTCATCCATTGAATTCACTAACGTGTCAGTAGGATCCTGGATAATATCTTCTACGATACACAAGAGCTGCGGTGTGGGCATTCATGCAGCTGCCAGCCATGGCATCATTTTGAATGACAGCATAGTATTTGGGACAGCAGGCCATGGCATTGATTTGGAGGGTGAGGCTTATTCTCTCACTAATAACCTTGTGGTTCTGACAATGCAATCAGCATGGTCCACCTCTTGGGTGGCAGGAATCAAAGTGAACCAGGCAAAATATGTCAACCTCCGTGGCAATGTTGTTGCAGGCTCTGAGAGACTTGGCTTTCACATCCGAGGCCATAGTTGTTCCCTTACTGAAGCACTTTGGTCTGACAATGTGGCCCACTCAAGCCTTCATGGCCTTCACCTCTATAAGGAAGATGGACTAGACAACTGTACAAGAATTTCTGGCTTCCTGGCTTTCAAGAACTTTGATTATGGTGCCATGCTACATGTAGAGAATAGTGTGGAGATAGAGAACATCACTCTGGTAGACAATGCTGTTGGTCTTTTGGCAGTAGTGCATATGTCATCTGCTCCACAGATCTCCATCAGAAATGTACAGATTGTGCTTAGGAATTCAGTCATTGTGGCCACTAGCTCCTCTTTTGACTGCATTCAGGACAGAGTTAAACCTCACTCAGCCAACTTGACATCAAGAGATCGTGCTCCTTCCAATCCACGTGGGGGTCGAGTTGGTATTCTGTGGCCTGGATTCACCTCAGAACCAAACCAGTGGCCTCGAGAACCATGGCACAGAGTGAGGAATAGCCATTCAATTCCAGGAATCATGAAACTTCAAGGTAGGATGTTTGGGTTTATCCAGGCAACTTAGTTAAAGTTATATCAGCCAAAGAGTACAGTGTGGTCTAGTGCTTGCTGTCCAGTTAACAATTTGCTTGGTCGTTTATAACCACAGTAGTGGCTTACCATGACAATGAGTAATAAATAAAGTCATTGCTTTACATTTTGGAGAGCTTTCACAGCATTTATTTAATTGGATCTTTGTAGCATTTCTCTTAGCTGTTATTGTTCCTGTTATACAATTGAGGAAACAGTTGGAAGTTGTTCCTTGTCTGAAGTTGCTTGGTAGTTGGTGGGGTACCTAGGAGTAAACTTAAAGTCAAACCATAACTTATGTAGTTTATCTTCTATTAGATCTCTTTTGTAATATTGTACATATCTCCCATATACTTACTCTCTTGTAGTTGGTTTAGTTTATATAAGTTATATGAAGTATAAATTTTCATTAAGTCTTTGATAAAAAAGATGCACCCTTAAGACTTTAATGTTTTAGAATGCTTTTTTATTTTGCCTGATGTCCATATCTTGTGGAATTATAGATCTTTTAAGTAAAGATTTATGCAAGTTCCTGGAATTGTCCTGGACAGCTTAAACTAACTCTTGGACATGAATTATTATCAGAGATCTTACTTGTGCAATCTGTATTTGTAGTTGGTGATTTGTATGATACAATGTTTTACTTTTTAAAAAATTTTCAGGTGTCACCTTTTCTAGTTTTGTAAAGAGTTGCTATAGTGATGACATGGATGTCTGCATTCTGGCAAACGCAGAGAACACTGGAATCATGTACCCAGTCACGGCAGAGAGGACAAGAATGCTAGACATCAAAAATAAAAACAAGTTCTTCTTTCCTTCATTACAACCCAGGTACCATTTTAGTATGTATAGGAGGCTGTATTTATGAAAAACTTGGCAATCTTCAAATCCCTGTACATGTTATATATAAAAAGAATAAAATCATCAATGGGTATAGCAGTGAGTCCTTCTAGAAAGATATAGTAGATTGATTTAGTGGCCCCAGTACTTTGTCCCTCCCATACACATGCAGTTTGATATATGATTTTTGCAGTCTGTTTCTCAACTTTCTTTAACTAACAGGAAGGGCAGAAGTGATGGAGTGCAAATTCCAAATCGAGGCCTCCAAAGGCTTTGCTTGCTTCCTTGTGTCCTCTTGTCATTGTGGCTTCACCACATGATGAAGAAGCTCAAGCTAGTCTATTAGTCCTGGAGGGTAGATAAGGGAGTGGGGAAGTTAAGAGGGAGGGGATTGGGTTGCTTTTTATTTTCCTTCACTTTGGGGAAAACTCCTTTAATTAGAAAAAAGTAATCAAGAGAAATCACCCTAATGAGAAAAGTTCGTGTGTTTGACCTAACATCATCTCTCTTTGATGACCATTCCTGAGCCATTTTAGTTCCTAAACACAATTAGGTCTGGACTCTGTGCTGTTCTGTCATTTTTCTTCTACTATCTAATTTTCCTTGTGTTCATGTCTTACTTACAGGTGAAATAGTTATAAAGTTAAATGATAATAGCATCTGACTTTTGTACTGTTTAACACCTGACACATGATTGCCATACAATACATATTTAATATTATTACTAATGTTACCTAACAGAATTAGATCAGGGGAGTAAAATAAATTCTCTATACTTCAGTGTTGAAATTACCTATTAGTTGTTTATGTACCTTATTTGACTCTAAATTCCAGAAGCACAGGAGCCATGTCTGTCTTTATCACCATTATTTCCCCCAAACCTATCGCTAGTAGGTTTTCAATGGATATTTATTGAATGAGAATCTCTATCTTTGCTTTGTCTATAGTACAAATATAATTGATACTTACAATGATAATCCTAAAATACTAAAAGGCTCTGAAGTACCATAAAGAAGTGATTATATTATGTTCAATAGATATTAGAGTTAGGAGCATTTTATTCTATCTTGTTTCTTAGAAAATTAGCAACCTCTGTGAAGATTGCATTTCCAGATAATCTAGAATATTTAGTTAATAAGAAAGTCTTTCTCTGGGAAAGGAGTTATTCTATACAGAGTTTAATTTCCTAACTATGTAACACATTATTAATAATAAAATCCTGTTAAATTTCTTTTTCAGAAGGTCAAGAATCAATATGTTTTCTTCTTGCTGCTTACTATGAAATGAGATAGTTGCTCTCCCTCTGTCTTCACAGGATAGATTTAGGAACAGTGGTCTGCCCTGAATTGGATTGTGAAAGTCCAAGAAAGTATCTCTTCAAGGATCTGGATGGGAGAGCCCTGGATCTGCCTCCACCAGTTTCTGTATTTTCTAAAACAGAGGCAGAGTGGACTGGATTGTTCTTCAACACAGGTCAGTTGTATCTAAATAAGAAAAGGGAGCATTCATGTGAAGGAAGGCTTTGCTGTTATGACAAGTGGGAACAAAATACAGCAGAGGGGAACTAAATGAACTTTAGAGTGCGAATTTGTGCTAATATGTTGTCCAACATACCTGCCTCACAGGAATGTTGCGAGATTATGTCATAGCATCATTGCTGTGCCCTCCATGAAATTGCCTGTGTCCATGCCAAAGGTACAGATTCCTCTGCCCAACTCCGTGTACAAGTAGGGAAAACAGCCCTGTCACGAGCTCTGTCACTTGGGCCTAGAACAGCATTCCTTTTGCTTGGTATTTCACAATGTCTACCATGGAACTAGCTCCTCTGTCTTCCAAGTCTGTGTTTCTTTTCCATGAGGGTTGATTCTTCTCAGATTTCGTTTCTGGCCTACTTTGTAAATTCTGAATGTAGCAATGTCCCAGGATGGTGCCCTCAGTCTTCTTTCTTTCTGTCTCCGATCTTGCTCCCCAGGTGCCAGGTTAAAATGCCAGCTAATGCTGATAACTTCTCATTTGTATATCCAGCCTAGACTCAGCCTTGAATGTTTGGCTTGTGTATCCAGCTGATTCCAGTGGGAAGTATAATAGGCATGTCAGACTGAAATGCCAAGTAGGATTCTTGATCTCTGCTCCATCTACAACCTGCTTCTTGACTACTTGTCCTGCCTTAATAATTGATACTACACTCCCACAGTTAAACAAAAAAACTTAGGAATGATCCTTTATTTTTATTTTTCTTAACCCAAGCTCTCCCCTTTCTCATTCCCTCCACCTCATTACCTTCTAGCCTAGCCATTATCATCTCTGAATTGATAAGGATAAGCCTCCTAGTCTTTCTATTACTCCTGTACCTATAGTCTGTTCTTCACACAATAGTGATAAGCCTCCAAACTTGGGTTTCTTCTACTCCTATATGCTGTAGTCTATTCTTCACACAATAGTCAGGATGAACTTTTCAACCTTCCAATGGCTTCCTAACCCTCTTAGAATAAAATCTAAACTGCAAGCCAAAAAATTCTGTAGTTTCTGGTTCCTGATTGGCTCTCTCACTTGGTCTCCTGTGAAACTTCTTTTATTTACTCATCTGGCCTTATTTGATTTACTTTTTGTTATTAGGTGCCATGGAGTCGATGCTGACTCATAGTGACCCTGTGTGACAGAGTAAAACTGTGTCATAGGGTTTCCTAGGGTCAGATCACTAGGTCTTTCTATTGCAGAGCCACTGGGTGAGTGCAAACCACTAACTTTTCTGTTAGCAGCCAATTGTTTAACCATTGCACCACCAGGGCTCCTTGCTTTTCTTTCTTCTTTCTTATTTTTCCTCTAATATGCTAAGCTTGCTCCTACCTCAGGGCCTTTGCACTTGCTGTTTTCTCTGTCTAGAATATCTTATTTTCACTTTTTTGCTGAGCTGGCTCCCTTGGTTCCAATGACAACTCCTGAGAGAAGTTGTTTCTGCCCATCCTACCTAAAGTAATCATGCTATCATTAATCTTTACTATGCCTGCTTTATTTTCCTTCAGAGTTCCACTACCTGAAGTTATAGTATAAATGCTTGTTTGCTTATTGATTTATTGTTTTTCTCTTTAGAATGTAAATTTGGCGACAGCCAGTACTTTGTTCTGCTCATTTACATGTATGTTGTGGATTCTCAACAGATATTTGTTGATTAATCAGAGGAAAGAATTATTAACCAGGGAGAGTATTAATGCTCTTTGTCCCAAATCATGCAAGGAATAGAGAAAGAATTGAGATACCCACGTCATTGGCTTAAAGATTTATCTGAAATAGCTTTTAGCCCTGCAGACATTTCAGGTATCTTTTTCCTTGTTTCTACCTTTCTTCCACCTGAACTACTGCTACAAACTATTCTTATAGCATTTGAAATATAATTTTACATAAAATTCTTGTAATTCCTATAAAATTTTAGCCTTGAACACTTTTTCATATTTCTCTTAAAAATTTTCATGTGTTGAAGGCTTATCTTTGCAATGGGTTGACAAGCTGTGGGGACTACAGTATAGGTTTTTAAAAGTAATGAACATAGTGCACAAATAATCATTTTGATGTGTTCGGTAGAATGAGCAAACTCGTTTTTTGCATGAAAGAATAAAATTTAGGGACACATATGTAAATGAGAAAATATTTGGGAAGTAGAAAAAGAAAAAAATAGACTACTCTCCTATTTACCACCAGATCTATCCAAATTATTTTCTACAGTCAGTTTTTCCATTGATTTTAAGATTCATCTCACTATTATAGGTAAACATCTTGACACTTCAAACTAAGTATATGAATAATTTGGAGGCTAGTCTTAACTGGGGTTTTTGGTAATCATCATGCTTCTCTGGAACTGGTAAGAAGGTTTAAAGAAAATCACATTTCATTGTAGTCGAAAAGAAAAAGAACTAAAAATGTGTTTTACTTTGACTTGCCCTAGAAGCAGATCTCAACATAAAGTTCAGAGTACAAGTAGTTTATGTGGGGGGTAATCACAGGAAACAAATGTAGGGAAGTGGGGAAGTGAGAGTAGGAACAGGAATGAAGCCAGTAAAAGATGTATTATCAATGAGTTCAAGTCTGAGGGGTAACTCTGGAAGACTATGGGGTATATGCTTCAAAATTATTTCAGCCCAGCAGTGCAGAAGCTAATATATTTCTACTTCAAATCCTCACACATCGCTGGCTGAGGGCTGCTTCTGAGGATGTTTATCTCTCCAGCCTTTGGCTTTCCCTGAACGTGGGTGCTTTGCTCCCATGGCTAAGAAAAAACTCTTAGAATAGAGTCGCAGGTTTGTGCAGTAAGCAGTATTTGGTACGTGAAAGTGTGTGCCAAAGACATATGGATGTGGCATCAACAGCATCTGTTAAACAAATAGAAATTCTAAAATGTTGACCAAGTGTTCAGTGTTTAATAATAAGACTGTTCTTTAGATGAATCTTAGGTGTTTGCTGTGTGGCATAATATGCTATTTAGGCTTGTGCTCTTGTTGCTGATTGTAATGCTGGTATATTTTGTTTTTCTTAGTTCTCTGTCTTAGCTGTGAAATGTGATTCAAAGGTAAAACTCTGTCAGGTATTATAACATTACACACCATTTTACTATCAGCATGTGTGTTGCATGACTGGCTATATATGTGGAAATATGTGTGACTGACTTCCTTAAACTCCTGATGCCTTAAAGCTTTATAACATTTAAGATGAAGTGGCTATGGGTACTAACTGCAAGGATTCTTGCAGTGGAGTCTGCTGTTTACTGCACTAAAAAACAATCTGTGTCCTCTTGCAGTGTAGGATGACAGCACATAGCAAACAGTGCCTTCTGGGTGCTAAAAGGATTGTAGTATTTTCCCTTGACTTCAAAAATACGAGGATATTCTCTTTCCCATAATTCAAATCCATTTTTTATTTTTCAAACCACTCTTTCCTATGCTGCTTTCCAATTCCTGTCCACAATCTAGTGAACAAGAAATGCATAAATTGAATCAATCACAAGAGAACTAATGCCTATTTTGTGTTATCTTTCCCTCTTCAACATAATAATCTATGATCCTTATATAGGGTTGGCAGACAATGGTCCTATAAGTTTATGTGAATGATCAGAATCCCCAGGTGTATAGTACAGCTGACAAGGGGCTAGGTTGTGGTCACTGCTTGGTCACAGCCAGCTACCCAGAG